AAGAAAGAACAGTAAGATATATAATCCGGTGTTCTTATAGATATTTTATTTTTACAAAATAGTGCTCAATGTAAATTTACAGAGCATTAATATTATAAATTAATTGATTTAAAATATGGTTTTTTTCGCTACACAGTTCTAACCATGTTTCAAAAAATGGAAGGTCAAATTTAATTTTGTAATTAAATTAAAGACATTTGTTCCATTTCATTCTCAAGCAATTTTGGAGTAACTTATAAAATTACTGGGTTTTAAAGACAGCAAAAATCATAATTCCGTTTCAAGGATATAGAAATCCAATTCAACCAGACAAGGGGTGTTTGCGTGTTCATTATCGCTTGTATTTTGATGTATCAGTTTTAGTTACGTTTTGGTAGGGATGATGTGATTCTTCAATGAAATCTGATATCCGTTAAATGCATGTCGTCTGGATTTTTTTGAAATTTTTATTGTTAACGGCAATGATTCTTACGCATTTTTTCTATTTGTATATTTAAAAATTTGGTTGGGTGGTATTTAGGTTAGAATACGTTTTATTTAACTACAATTTTAAAAATATTTTCACTTTTAATTTTTAATATACTATATTTCTTTTAAGAGTAAGTAAATGTATTGGAATCTCTTACAGTATGTAGAGTTATTTTCACATCAACTATAAGTATATATATTTTTAGGTAATAATTTATTTTTTTAAATTATTTAAGTAAACTTTATGACAATGACGCCAAAAAAAGCTAATTGATTTCACTGGTTTAGTAACCTTTTATTTTTTTATTTTGTAAACCTAGTAATATCTTGTTTCTCATGTAAGTACAAAGGACATGGGTCATTCAATATATATATATATATATATTAAATATTTACAATAATTCTTCATTTAACGATTTCACCGTTTACGACCCGATAAAAAAAAATCAATCGATCTAAGAAAGCGATTGAATAAAGATAACAGCATTGATATTTCTAGAGTGGTTTGATGCCATTCATGACATCCATATGCAAGTGTTGAATATATGAAAATATGTAATACAAATAATATACGAGACAGCGAATAAATCACCAAAACATTTCGAAGAGATTAAACGCAAGAATTATTGCGAACATAAACTTCGGTCTTTGGGCTTTGATTCTCCAGTTTCTCTTGGGGTGAATCTATGACTACTGGCAATCTTTAGAAATATGGCTAGTGCTTGTCAAGCCTCAAGGGACACGTGACCTACTGATATTTGCTATAACAATATGATCATTATAGTAGAATATACTAGATTCGTCTAGTATTTTTTCCTATAAAGACGTAGAATGCGTTTGATATAACAGTCATTATATTAAATATTATTATTATTATTATTTATTATTGCTTGTAGAAACGACGGTACAGGGTGTTATCAGGAGCGAAGATGGTCATTGCCAAGTAGAATCCTCTGCACTTTGAAAGGCAGTGATGGAAAATCTGAAATGTAGCAAGTCTTGGGAAACGTCCACGTTGATTGTACAAACGTTACGCTTTTGAAACGGGACCTGTATTCAGTCACCAGAATGTCTCAGTTACCTGCTGACTACTGACTTTTCATTCCATCCTTCCTTTCTTTCTTTCCCTCGTTCTTTCTTTCTTTTTTCTTTCTTTCTTTACTTATTTATTCCCCGCTCTTTTTAATTTCTGAATATTTTCGCAATTTTTCTTTCTTTCTTTCTTTATATTCCACAGTCTTTCTTTCTTTCTTTCTTTTCTTTCTTTATTTATTTATTTATTTATTTATTTATTTCCTCACTCTTTAATTTCTGAATATTTTCGCAATTTTTCTTTCTTTCTTTATATTACACAGTCTTTCTTTCTTTATTTCTTTCTTTCTTTCTTTCTTTCTTTCCCGCTCTTTAATTTCTGAATATTTCCACATTTTTTTTTGTTTCTTCCTTAATATTTCATGCATTATCTTTCTGTCTTTCATTGCTTCTTTCTTTTTTCTTTTCCCACTCTTTTACATTTCTGACTATTTTCGCAGTTATTTCTTTCTTTCTTATATTTTTCACGGTCTTTCTTTCTTTCTTTCTTTCTTTCTTTCTTTCTTTCTTTCTTTCTTTCTTTGCTCTTTTTAATTTCAGAATATTTCCAGATGTTTTTTTTTCTTTTTATTAATATTCCTTTTTCTTACTTTCTGTCTTTCTTTGTTTCTTTCTTTTTTCTTTTTTTCATTACTTCTTTCTTTCTCTCTTTCTTTCTTTAAGCACTCTTTCTAATTTCAAAATATTTTCAGAATCTTTTCTTTTTCTTAATATTCCATGTTCTTTCTTTCTTTCTTTCTTTCTTTCTTTTTCCTAATATTTCTTAATTTTTGCTTTCTTTTCCTAATTTCTGAATATTTTTACATTATCTTTTCTTTCTTAATATTCCACATCCTTTCGGTCAAGCTTTCTCTTTTTGTTTCTTTCATTCACTCTTTGTTTCTTTTTTCTTTCTTTCTTTCTTTCTTTCTTTCTTTCTTTCTTTCAAATATACATAATATTTACCCACCGAATTTACATAATGTTTGCACACCTTTTCTTTTCATCTTTCTTTCTTTCTAGCGTATCTTATTTCTTTTTTTAATTTTCTTTTGTCTGCCACTTTTATATTCGGAAGCTTATATCTAATATGCATATAACAGCTCTATTCTGTCAGTAATTGTCGAAATATATCGAGTCATGCTGACAATTTTGTAGTCAACTCTCTTGGAATTTCCACGGTGCTACCAGATTATTATGATTCTTTTGTGCTTGTATATATTCTTGGGAGTTTGTTTCTTCTTGTCTTAATTCTTTATTCATTTACCATTTTCGTCTGTGTCATTTGCTATTACTTCTTTATTCTTCTGTGCTTGTCATAAATCAAAGACGATTTGAGATTAGCGAAGAATTTACGAAACCTTAAATGGATTCGCAATCTGACGCTTCATTTTCTTTAGAACACGCGGAGGCGGGAATCCAAGTCATGACGACAAAATTAAACGTGAAATAAAAACAAAATGGCGTTCCCTTGTACACGCTCCGCGAAAAGCAGTTTTGTCATGCGCACTGTGTTCACCTGTTAAAATGTAAAGCACAATGCATGAGTTGAATTTATGTCCTCGGGATAATTCTTTTTATTTATTTTTTCTATTTTCTTCTTTTTTTTTTTGTTGTTGTTGCTTTCGGCGTTTGTGTTCTTTGTCTTCATTATCTTCTTTATCGCTTGTTTTATTATTTTTTTCTTCATATCTATCTAATTTACCGCCTTTTACAAGTTTGTTGTATTATTTTGTTTCATTCTTTCTTTCATCTCTGTCGCTAGTGATCTCGTCTTTTCAATATTTCGTCATGATTTCTTCTTCTTCTTCTTCTTCTTCCTCCTCTTCTTCTTCCTCTTTGCCTCTTATCACAACACCTTTTTTCCTTTTTTACTCTGCTTTTCTTCCTCTGTTTTAATTTTATTTTCCATTTTTCATGGAGCCCTTACTTCTCTCTTGTGTCTTGAAATTCGTTATTCATTTCTCATTCATTCTTTTCTTCTACTATTTTTCTTTTTCTTTTAACTTTACAGCTTTTTTAACTTCTATAACTTTTTCATTATTTTATTCTTTCCATTCCTTCTTCTTCTTCTTCTTCTTCTTCATCTTCTTCTTCATCAACATCTTCTTCTAATACTTCTTCTTCATCTTCTTCTACTTCTTTTTCTTCGTCCTCCCCCTCCTTTTCTTCATCTACTACTACTACTACTACTTCTTCTTCTTCTTCTTCTTCTTCTTCTTCGACTACGTCTTCTTCTACTTCATCCTCCTCCTCTTCTACTTCTTTTCAGCTTCTTCTTCTTCATCTTCTTATTCGCCATCGTCTTCCTCTTCTCCTTCATCTTCTTATTCACCTTCTTTTTATTCTTCTTCCATTTATTATTCCTTGTCTTTTGATTATAATTTAGTTAATTTCTTTTAACCATATCTTTCATCTCATTTCTTTCTTCTTCTTCTTCTTCTTCTTCTTCTTCTTCTTCCGTTGTTTCGCCTTTTTCCTCCTTTTTAAACTCCTCTTTTTACTCCTTATTCACTCTCGAAATTCTTGTCTCTTCTTTATCTTCTATCTGTATTAACTGTCATTTCTTTGTTTTCTTTTTCTTATTCTCTTTCTCTTCCTCTTACACTCATTTCCTCTTCCCCTTCCTCTTGTCGTCCTCCTTCTACTTCTCCTCCTTCTTCTGATTCTTTCTACATTCCATGCTATTTCTTCTCTCCGCATTTGCCGCCATTTCTTCTTCTTCTTCTTCATTTTCTTTTTTTCTTCTTCTTCTTTCATTCTTTCTTCTCTCATCTTCTTCGTCCTTCTCCTTCTGATTATATTTCTTGCTATAATTATTCATCTTTTTCCTTGCGTTTTCTGACATATTTTCTTCCTTCTGCATTTCCTGCTATTTCTTCTTCTTCATATTTTTCTCGCAATAGCTGCCATATCTGTTTTCCATTTTCTTCTTCTTTCTCTATTTCATGCTTTTTCTTCATCATATTTTTTCACATTTTTCTTGTATTTGTTATATCTTATTTTTCTTCATCTTATTATTACTATCATTATCATTATCATTATTATTATTAAAAACATGGTTGCTTCTATTTATCCAGCAGTTTTACTAAAATTAACGAATCCTGCCAAAGTTGAATCTTCTCTTTGTGCTTTGCACGAAGAATTTCAATATAATTCACTCCTTCTACCTCCAGGGATTTGTTATTGCTTGCATCTTCACACCAAATTCATCATCGCATTTTTATTACAATTAGTTTGGCGATTACAATCTCCATGACTTTTTCGCCATTACTGTCGCCATTTTAATAACAATAACAATTAATATTGTAGCCACCAATACGATTAATTCTGCTATTATTATTATTATTATTATTATTATTATTATTATTATTATTATTATTATTATTATTATCTTCGAAGCAGAGATATGCGGTGGTTCCCGGTAAGGTGGGATTAACTCAAAGTCTATTCAAATATACAGCACGCTCTGACTGTAACCCAAACCGCAAACGTGGATATTAAGAGAGAGGGAGAGACTAAGATAGATAGATAGATAGATAGATAGATAGATAGATAGATAGATAGATATGAACAGACTATAGATAGATAGATATAAAAGACTAAAATAGATAGATAGATAGATAGATAGATAGATAGATAGATAGATAGATAGATAGATAGATATGGACAGACTGATATAGATAGATATAAAAGACTGAAATAGATAGATAGATAGATAGATAGATAGATAGATAGATAGATAGATAAAAATGACTAAAAATGTAGAGACGAAGATAGATACAAATCATGGATAAAAAAGACTAAATATATGGATATGAACAGACTGAGAGAGATGTAAAGACTAAGATAGATAGATAGATAGATAGATAGATAGATAGATAGATAGATAGATAGATAGATAGAAAGAAAAAGAATAAAATAGACAAATACATAGGTAGATAGATATATGATAGATGGTGTCGCAAATATACCTTCCTGGTAAGACATTAGCCACTTTAAAACGCCATTTTAACTTACTATTATGTGAGAGGTGATTCTGCACAGCCTGTAGAGAACGAACAAACAGATAGATAGATAGATAGATAGATAGATAGATAGATAGATATTTCCTTGTTTTGAAAGTAAGGTTAAATTATTTAAAAATTTAGAAACCTTCACCTACTATGAAATCGGTGCCACAATCGTAAACATGGAGATCTTAATTATAACACCAGTTCCACAAGGCTGCACGCTGATAACGCTTAACGCTTGGGAGGGGAAAAAATAACTTTAAAAATAAATGTCATGTTCACCGTTGCATACACTGACATGTTAAAATTATGGGATAATTGGCTTGAATCGTGTAAGACGCCTTTTCACCCGGCAAAATACAGCAAGCCGTGAAGCTGCACAAATGATCCCAAAATTTAGGAAATGTAGCTGCTACGTGAAATCTGTCCTCCTTTACGGCAGTGAATGTTGGACGGTCTCCTCAAAGATGAAAAAGACACTCGAAGCCACGGAGGTATGGTTCTACAGAAGGATGCAACGGATATTATGGTCCGAGAGTGTGAGAGCAACGATGAGGTTTTGGAGATGATGCAGACAAGGAGGAAGCATATACTTAACATCAGGAAGAGGCAGCTGAAATTTCTGGGACATGTAATAAGAAAGGAGGGCTTGGAGAATCTGATACTCACAGGTCGAATAGAAGGAAAGAGAGACAAAAGAAAGCAACTCGGGTAAGCGGGATTAAGCAAGTGGATATTTGTTATGGGACCTTACCCATAAGAACATAATGGACTATTCCATACGTAATAAATACTGCGCCTCAAGAGGAAGCAGAGAGTTCAGCGCGAAGTCGGGCAACCAGCTGACCGGCTGATTGGTTGAAGTCTCTTCCTTCGGGCAGGGAGGAGCCCGAACGAGGCTACGCCGAAGGGCGAAGTCTCTTTCGGGGAGTTAAACCGACCCTGAACCCGTTTATACGTGTTCAAAGGGCACATTTTTGGCCGAGCCCACAGGCTCGGAGATCCCACGTTAAACCGGCCTTGTGCCACATGATGCCCTAGTGGGGGTGACTAAATACCGTTCAGTCTGAAGTCGGGTGACCGGCTGACCGGCTGATCGGTTGAACTCTCTGCCTTCAGGCGGGGAGGAACCCGAACGAGGCTACGCCGAAGGGCGGAGTCTCTTTCGGGGAGGTAAACCGACCCTGAACCCGTGACTAAATACCGTTCCGTCTGAAGTCTGGGTTCAGTCTGAAGTCTGGAGTGAAGTCCGTCAGGAGTCTGTCAGTCAGTCAGAGCGAGCGAGTCAGTCAGTCGAGTCAGAGGCAGTCTGAAACAGAGCCGTGTTCAGATAATTACTTCTAAACCTGATTGTTCGTACTAACACTTTTCTACCTCTCTGTATATCATCCTGTTTGTAATATATCTGTGTTATTTCATATCCGCCTTCGAGTTCTTTATTGGTTCTACCTTGGACTATCACCGTGGTACAAGGAACCGGACCCTAACAATATTAGAACAGGGTTTGGAAGAAGTAGCAAAGGTCAAAACTTATTGAGAGCTACAAGGGATAAGGTGAAGTGGAGAGCCATGATCGACTACGTCCTGAAGGGACACGGCACATAAAAAGAAAAGAATATTACTTTCGTCTTCTATCCACTAACATGCCTCAGCTATTCTGAGTGTTTTAAGGACTTCAAGCTTTAGTGTCACAACCATCCCATAACATTTGGCACGTCAGTGTGTTTGCATGAATTTTATAAAGGCTAGAATGCATAAAAAATATTTGTGCTCTGTACCCAGTTGTAAAAACCGTCCCTCAACGTCAGGGTTGTTTAAGCAATTTTAAATGCTTTGTAATGCCAAACACTTTGCACAAGGTGAGGCAAAATTAGAGCACCATAGGGATTAATGTATATCTAGAAGAGGGTCCTGTTCATTGGTCACACCAAGATCACCAGACCTCACAGAGACTTTGGATTTTGGTTTTTGGGGGTTTTTTTCTATGCGGCCTTATGAATTCATTTGTTCATCAGACATTAAATATGGAGAAACTTAAAGAAAGACTTAAATATAAATTTAATAAAATGAGACCGGAATCTCTCCGATGTGTTAATAAATCAGGCAAGCAAAGAATTGAAATGTTTTTGTGAAAAAGAAGGAAGACATTTTGACCAGCGATTATAACAATTAAATAAACAGTAAATAAAATTTTCATATGTAATTATACTTTTAATAAATTATTCCTATCTTGCACGACTTTTGCCTCACTCTGTAAAAAGGTATTTTGAACATTTATAACAAAGAGAACACTTATACGTAAAATCTGACAGAATTTTTTCGATATTTAACGAGGAAAGAAGGTTTGGAAAATTTGACACTCACTGGAATATTGCTAGCCGAGGGAAACGTCGAATGATCTACCTTATGAGTCTATGTCAATGAGTAACAGATACTGAAATCGGAGAGATATATAAAGTTAAACAGTGCTACTAACTGAAAAAGGTGGAAAGTTGGGGAGAGCCATGATCTCCTACTCCTGAAATAGATACGGCATATATAATAATAATAATAAGAAGAAGAAGAAGAAGAAGAAGAAGGGGGAGGAGGAGAGAGGAGGAGAAAAATAAGAAGGGGAGGAGAAGAAGAAGAAGAAGAAGAGGGAGGAGGAGAGAGGAGGATAAAAATAAGAAGGGGAGGAGAAGAAGAAGAAGAAGAAGGGGGGGAGGAGGAGAGAGGAGGATAAAAAAATAAGAAGGGGGAGGAGAAGAAGAAGAAGAAGGAGGAGGATAAAAAATAAGAAGGGGAGGAGAAGAAGAAGAAGAAGGGGGGGAGGAGGGAGGATAAAAATAAGAAGGGAGAGAGAGAAGAAGAAGAAGAAGGGGGAGGAGAGGAGGAAAAAATAAGAAGGGAGGAGGAGAAGAAGAAGAAGAAGAAGGGGGAGGAGAGAGGATAAAAAAAAAGAAGGGGAGGAGGAGAAGAAGAAGAAGAAGAAGGGAGAGGAGGATAAAAATAAGAAGGGGAGGAGAAGAAGAAGAAGAAGAAGAAGAAGAAGAAGAAGGGGGGGAGGGAGGATAAAAATAAGAAAGGGAGGAGGAGAAGAAGAAGAAGAAGAAGAAGGGGAGGAGGAGAGAGGAGGATAAAAATAAGAAGGGGAGGAGAAGAAGAAGAAGAAGAAGGGGGAGGAGGAGAGAGGAGGATAAAAATAAGAAGGGGAGGAGAAGAAGAAGAAGAAGAAGAAAGGCACCACGATTCCAAAAATTAGGGAAATAATGAACAGTCCTATTCAAAATCCACTATCCACTAGCCTCCACCAACCCATAATTCCACCACCTAAATACTTAATAAAGAGATCGATGTAGAACTAAAATGGACAAAGAGAAGAAATAAAAAGATATTTGGTATTGGTCCGGGAAGCTGGTGATGGGAGGGAATTTTCTTTTTTTTTAAGGGACTTGGGATGGTATTGGTATAGAGGAATGGAATATTTCCCAACCACCCCGGCTGCCAAAACCAATACCCGACCAAACATCTCCTTTTGATAGGTTTGGGTTTGGGACCGGAGGAGGAAAGGTTCAGAGTTGCCAGTTTGGTAGAGTCAAGATTCGACAGAAAACCTCGCCGCCTATATATAGAATTTGGCGCCCGTTCCTCACATCGAGTGCGCGTGTGTGTTCCAGCGAAGGGGTAAGGGTTGCCATCTTTCTATGATTTCGTCTTTTCTTTTTTTTCTTTGATTGGCTTAGTAGGCCGTGTGCAGTCAATGGAAAAATCAACTTCTCCCTATTTCGTGTCAGTGAGATGGCACTAGAGTGTGAACAGACACACATAGACACACACGCACACACACACACATATAGACACACACATATACACACGCACATATACAGCGCTGTTTGATAAAATTGACTCGTCTGATTTTTTTTTTTTTTTACTAAAAATATGTTTTGTCTATTGTTTTTGAAGTTAAAATAATTTTTAATCTTACTAATATAAAGACCCTTTCCCGACCACCTAGGAAAAAAGTTTATTCACCCTAAGGTATTCTATTGATAATTATAAATTTGGATATAAATGAGATTCAGGAAAAAAAAACTCTGTGCAAAAAAAAGTGACTCAGATATCGCATTCTAATGATTAAACTGGTAAATTTAAAGAGATTTTGACAAAATATTGAAAACTATTTTACAATACACTCAGAACAATATTCTAGAGAATTCTAGAACAGCTTAAATTAAATCTAGATTATTCCAGAATAGTCCAGAAAGCCTCATACAGTATAAAAAACAGCTTGAAATAGGCACTCAAGTCACTAACCAGATGAAAGGGTACAAACACGCATCAAAACCACTTAAGGCATCTATTATTGCCCTTTCAAAAGCAGACAAGACTACGAGAGAAATTGCAGAAATTGCTATAACCTCGCAATCAACTGTCTCTCAAGTGCTTAAGGCACATAATGATGCCCCCCCCTGTTCTAAGGAAGGAAACAAGGGGACGAAAGAAAAAGATTAATGATAGAACTGGCAGGGTAATCAAGAGAGAAGTTCCGAAGAATAGGACTATAACTAGCCAAGATATTGTAGCCAGTCTAAGCGAAGAGCAAGGTGTTAGTCTTGCCTCTTCAACAGTCCGTTAGAACAAGGTTACAAATCTTGTTAGAACAAAGCTACAAATCTAATGTTAGTGTTTAAGCCTTTTTATTATATATATATATATATATATATATATATATATATATATATATATATATATATAAGATCCAGGTGTGATCTCCGTATCTTATATTGTTAAGATTACGCCTAATTTAAATCTTACTGAACAGTTGTGTCAAACTTTGATCGTACACTGTTGATATCATTTCAAGTTGAAGTAAAGGGCTGTCAGCAATGGCAAACATTTCGTAGCTCAATTCCCCAATTATTTTCTCTCTGTAAATTAGAATCTCTTCTGACGTGGAAAAGACTGGAGATAAGAAGAATCTGTCAAGAACTAGAATTGACCCAGTGTATGTTTATCAGAAAGACGACACGCAGCAATCAGCAACTTTCTCAAAGGGGAATCAGAAAATTTAATCAAATGACATATATAAGAAGTCGACCTTCATTAAAGTGGAACATTTTAAAATATGATTATTAATAATAATAATAATAATAATAGTGAAAAGAAAAAGAAATAAGAAACTTTATTCAGCAATAATGGAGGCCAACAAATTCAAAAGGGAATTTCAAATGGATGAAAAAGCGCAAATTAACCAACTTACTTCTTCTCTTCATGACGTAGGCGGTCATGGCTCACCACTTCCTCCTATCCCTTGTAGCTCTCAATAAGATTTTTCCCTTTGCTACTTCTCCCAGGCCCTGTTCTGTCACCCGTTTGCTTAAGCCAGCTAACCCAAGTTCCTTTCCCTTATCTCGCTCTCTCTCTCTATCCGCCCTGTGAGTATCAGATTCTCCAAGCCCTCCTTTCTTATAACGTGTCCCGGAAATTTCAGCTGCCTCTTCGTGATGTTAAGTACAAACCCACGCTTGTTTGCATCGTCTCCAAAACTTTATCGGTGCTCACACACTCAGCCCATGATATCCTTAGCATCCTTCTGTAGAACCATACCTCCGCTGCCTCGAGTCTCTTCTTCATCTCTGATTTCAACATTCGCTGCCGTAAAAGAGGACAGATGTCACGTAGCAGTTCAGTACACTTTTCTTTGTTATAAACGAAATCCTCCTGTCTCGTAATACTCTGCTTAGCTTTTGGAATGCGTCTTTGGCCATCCCAATACGATCTCAGCGTCGCACTTACCGTCCTCTGTCAAGACACATCCCAGATTTTGGTAACTGAAATAAGATGATGCCTCTAAATACCTAGGAGTCTGCAGAGGAGATACAGATGGTATACAGCATATCCAAATGAAGGAGAGAGTCTGAATAGAATCCTACATATATGTGCATCTGGTGTTAAATACCGAGTTGAATTCATAAAAGAGAATATCAGCCATAAATACTTTGGCCGTCTCTCCGCTGCAATACAGTTTCAACATCTTTGACTGAAGCATAGCTGGAATCAAGCGAATAGATATCAAAACGAGAAAGCTTGCCACCGCATGCATCATCCTAAATCTGATGTTGATCGTCTGTATATGTACAGATCCGAAGGAGGTAGAGGATTAGTTCAACTAGAACTGTCGTACAAAACTACAACAATCGGTCTTCTAAGATACCTTGAAACTACAGAAGACTAAATGTTGATTTATGTCAAAGAACATGAAAGAAAGAACCCTTTTTCAGTAATAAAGGGAGCCAGCAAATTCAAAAGAGAAGTTCATGTGGGTGAAGACGTGCAAATAAATTATAATGCACCTAGTACAACGCCAAAGAAACTAAAAAAGAAAGCAAAAGCAAATGTGCTAAATGCAGAAATGATGACAATATAAGCCTCTTCATGGTCAATACTCTGCCTGTACCAAACAAGCAGGTGTGGACAAACTTATCAATGGTTACGGAATGCGCGGTTAAAAACTGAAACCAAAGGTTTTAATCTTCCTGCACAAGATTAATGATTGCTAACCAAACATTACCAAGCACACATACTGAAAAATTGTGTTAGCCCGAAATGCAGATTCTGTGATAAATATCCAGAAACAATTGATCATCTTTTATTAGGTTGCACGGTGTTAGCATCGACTGAATATAAAACTCGGCACTGGAAAATATGCAACTTTTACGCGAAGGAAATTGCAATAAATTGGTATGAAAACCATCCAGAGCCGGTTACAGATAAAAGCCATGTAACAATTTTATGGGACTTTACAATACACACAGACAGAACAATCAAAGCTAACCGCCCAGAAATCGTGATCAAAGACCGCAATAACAGAATGTCCTTTCTTGTTGACACGGCATTTCCTGCAGCCTGTCAAGTATCTTTGAAGATCTTTAAGAAAACAAGGATCTTCAAGTAGAAATCACACAAACGTGGCACATGAAGACATTAATGGAGACCTCGGTTTGATTGGAAAAGCTTCTGATAGACTTATTAAAGGAACCCCTGTTAGCCCTTGACTTAAAGAAATATAAAATATTGCAGCTCATACCGTAAGAAGAGCATTAACAATGTGCGTGTTCTTAGGTTCTTGTTTTGTTTTGTTTTGCTTTGTTTTTTAACAACTAATTTCAGCTTTCTGACCTTATACCGTAAACCACTTCATGGCCAATACCTGCCCGCATCAAACAAGCTGACGTAGACAAAACCCATACCATCAGAAGTGCAGGGGTTGAAAGCGGAAACTGAAGGTTTATCTTGCTGCTGGGACCAATTTAACAATCCAAATGCAGATTCTGTGAAAATAATTGAGTTCTTGTTTTGTTTTGTGGGCCAATTTGCACTTTGCCATTTGGTAAACACCACCCAGACCCGGTTAACTAATTTCAGTGGCCAAAATATTGTAATTGCCATTTATCTGACCTTACGACTCAACAATCCCTGTTGTAGAGGAAAAGATTCGACTAATTAGCGATACAATGAGTATAATAACAGCCCAATGATCCTAATAATAATAATAATAATAATAATAATAAAAAATAATAATAATAATAATAATAATCCGAGGAAATACTTGATATGTATCCTTCTAGTGCGGTGTAGCTCCATATAACCGTTTTAAACGTGATGCTACTTCGGACTATCCTAACTCTCCGCCCAAAAGGCGAGGATGTACCCAACGAAAACACCCAGTTCTTGTTATTGACTCAGACGGTAGAAAGTCCTTGAAGAAAATCAAAATAGGATAGAGGTTTTTTTTTTTTTTTTGATTGCGATTTCATGCAAACATACAACGAGGACCTATCCTGGCTTTCCATCGACCGGCCAATGTTTACCCACATTGAATCTCGGTTCGTAATTAACGTCGGTTTGATTTTTATTGCTGGTAATATTTTTTTTTTCCTTCAAAAAGCATTCGCTGGTAATATTTTTTTCCAAAAAATGTATTGCTGCTATTATGTATGGTAGGTAATAATTTTTTTACAAAAATGTTTTTCTGGTATTAAAACATATTTTTACACGTTTTGACCATAGCTTGGGGCGGGGGGCAACTATTTTCCCATAGCTGGGACCCTAACAGGTGCTACCACCCCGGGTCAGGGTGAACCTGGGAAGAACAGCAATTAAGAGATGGTTCCTCAAATCTCTCAAAACCTCATGATCAGAGGCCTTACTGTCGGATGTAGATTATCGTCTTACCCAGGACGACGGGAAATAATCAACGCCCATTTGATGCTTGACATTATATATATATATATATATATATATATATATATATATATAATGAAATATGCATACACCTGAGTGCCCCCTCGCTGGAATATGATTGGCTGGTGTCCGCCATATATACAGACGGACGTGTAGGTAAAGTTTAAGTCTATGACGACGCCCATTGGACTACGCCATTGGCTATCCTATTGGTCTACGACGAGTACCATTCGATTACTACTACCGTGTACTACTTGGTTACAGTAGCCAAAACCACTTAGCTACTTCGATCAAATATATCCCTTTCTGGGACATATCAATATATATATTAATCATTTCACCCCAGGTAAGGCGTAAGTGCCAGGGGTTACAGAGACAGGAAAGTGAGAGAATATATATATATATATATATATATATATATATATATATATATATATGTGTGTATATGTTGTGTGTGTGTGTGTGTGTGTGTGAACGATCGCTAAAGCGTGAAACCCAGGGTCACAAACTCACATCTATCCAACCAAATATATATATATATATATATATATCGCCTCATTCACTCCGTAAAGCTTGCGTTAATTCCTGACCAATGGTAATCCTTTTCCTTGTTGATTTCCAAAGTATTCCTCTGGCAAATATCATTAGCATCATATGTATAAAAGAACTGGTGTTTGTATTAATTTCTGGCAATTGGCAATCGTTTTCTTCCTGACTCTACAGAATAGCTATGCACTTTAATTATTTATTTCAGCAGTTTCCTCTCTCTCTATCATTAATGTCTTCCTTCATTCCTAAGTACTGACCTTTTCTTTCCCTGCTAAAATATTTCAATTTAGGCTTGTTGGAGACCTGTTTCCTTCACCTTGTTCAAGTCAAACGCAAAGAAATATTTCAAACGAAATATGACAATCGTAGAGCGGACAGAGTGTTAAGGACTGCAAAGACAAATATGTGCTGCAAGGAAATGTCGCTAAATGTGGGGCGCTGAAAGACCGCCCACGTCATGAAAAGACGTGGTATATCAAAGAATTCCCTCTAATGAATTTTATACCATTCCATCTGCTTCATATAAACGAAAAGCAAATTAACCTCGCTTTCTACTGAGGCATAAATCTTAGATAATGCCAAATGCCTTAAAGTCATACGTAGTCGAATGGGTTGGGCGTGTCATTATCGACAACGTCGAATAAACCCATATTTATAGATCTTCTCAAAGCACGCAATGGGATACCGGGTCGATTTTAGCAGAGGTACTCTCACAAATTATTACGTGTCTGGATTCCATAATCACACTCGGCTCTCTAGCCTTGGTTGGCAACCAGTCTAGGAGATGAACAGCTCTAAATTCAAAACCGCTTAGGTGTCGGAGTCACGTCACCACCCCGTAAAATTACTTGCTACGGAAGCACCATCAAATATTGTGAGATTTTGACACTAATATACTCACGGCCCAGTTTGACAAACAGTTTAATTAATCTGATTTGAAACAAAGGTTGCTTACTATAAACATAAAATACCGCCGAAATTCATTTCTTAACACGTTGCCATTTATTTGAGATGTTGATAGCATGACAGCTTCAATGACAGAATTTTATCTAATTTTTTCTATGGTGGATATATCTGTAAAAATCAATCGAGGAATATAACGTGACGTCTTTTTTATATAACTTTTAAATACCCTTTAACCTTTAACCTCCGTAATCTAATGTTTTATTGAAGGTATTTTGGCTTTAAATTTACAGTAGTCATCGCTTTTATTTTCTGACGATGCCGGGTCTGGATGTCCGTATTTACAAACATCGACATGTTTATACACATACGAAAAAAAAAAAAATTAAAAGTTCTTTTTAAAATATTGGGGCTCGCTGAATTGTAATGGACTTGTCCAATTATGATTAGTAATTATAGTTTTTGCTTAATAACAATATCACCTAACCGGGACAAAGAAAGACAGAATTTTAAAAGATTTAAAATTTTATAAATGATGATAGTTAAAAAGTCAAAACAATTCTTGTATAGATGATTATAGTTAAAAAAAATTCAAAACAATTCTTGTAAAAAATTCATTATTCATCGATTTTTTTTTACTCTAATGTTTATAATACACCTTATTCCTAAAAGCAATTAAAAGCTTTTCTAATTATATAATATCTTACTTTATTGCATTTTTTTTATTTTACATTTCAGAGCAGATTTTCTGTAACTGGGGGCCATGTTTTACAAATAGAAATTGATGATTTAAGTTTTCCAAGAAGTTTTGCTTTTAACTAATATGAACATTAATCGGGATATTTAGTTCTCGAAATTTTATAAAATTTAATAAGTGGGCGGTGTAACAGTTTTAAGAAAATATTTTATCAACATTTTCTAAAACTAACATTTGTAAAATAATTTCTTTCATTTGTGAATAAGTCCTGAAAGTTTCATTAAAATTCTTCCAAGAATTTCCAATCGGTGCTTTTAACCGCAAAAAAGACACTAAAATTTCCTGTACTGATCGCTAAAAATTATATTATTTACCAACGCAAAAAAACAACAACAAAATCTCAAACGTTCTCAAAAGGAGAAAAAGATATAATTTAATAATTAAAAAATTCTTTTGTCATTCCTCTTAACAATGCCATAAAGATTTTGGCGATAAATCTTTGTTGTTAATTTTGGGGCATTTTTTATATCGTATATGCTCATCGGCATATTGCTGTATGCGTATAATAGGAAGATCCTGCCTGGAAGTCAAAACTACAGAGACTAGGCCTTCAAATACTGGTTCGTGTGTGACAAGGTCCAAATAAAACTCATAGCTGACAAAAGGGTTCTGAGAGCCCTCCCCCAACAAACAAGTAGTTGCGCTGTTGTTTAAAGGATGCTACAAGTCACTGATGCATTTCCTTTCAAATAACACTAAAAGCCAATCGAATTATGGCTTTAAGACTTATTGATTCGCATATAATAGTCACGTGGCGTTAGAAAAATTATTTCCAACTCAGTTTTCTTCAACGTTTGCAATAAAACAAGCCACTTTCTCACCGACGATACGTGGCTTCCTTGTCTTTTTTACAAATATTTTCATGGTAACTGCTATGATGAGCTTTTTTTTCTCTGGTGCCTGGACTATATGAATTTCAGCGTGTTACTAGATCGGCATTTAGGTCCCATCCTTTTGCTGTTGAAATAGTTAAATGTAATGCCCATATCACAGGAACAGTATAATAAAAAATATCCAAATGTTGGACAGTTTTTGTCTTCATTTCCCCTCCCCCCAAATAAAGCCACTATACGAAACTAGGAACAGCTATCAAACATAATAGACATTCGTTGCGTGTTATATTTAACATTATGTTTGTGTGTGTGTATCTATGTATATAGCACTCAAAGTTACTTTCACTCATATATATATATATATATATATATATATATATATATATATATATAAAAAAATAACGTTTGAAGTGCTATATATATATATATATATATATATATATATATATATAGTAAAAATAGCGTTTGAAGTGTTATATATATATATATATATATATATATATATCAGTAAAAATAACGTTTGAAGTGCTATATATATATATATATATATATATATATATATATATATATATATATATATATATATATATATATATATATATATATATATATATATGAGTAAAAAGTAACGTTTGAAGTGCTATAAAAATAAAAAAAATGCGGTAAGAGTTTTTGCCGTTAACAATAAATTTTTTAATAAAATCCAGACGACATTCATTTAACGGATGTCAGAATTCATTGAAAACTACATCCCTCCCACCTACCAAAACGTAACTAATAACTGATACAACAAAATAAAGCGATAATGAACACGCAGACACCCCTTGTCTGGATGAATGGATTTCTCTGTATCCTTGGAAACGTGAATTATGATTTTTTGCAGTGCCTATAAAACCCAGTAATTTTAAAAATAAGTTACTCCAAAATTCGCTTGAGGATGAAATAAAACTAATGTCTTTAATTTAATTACAAAATTAAATTCAAAGCTTTTACCTCCATTTTGAAACATGGTTAGAAATGTGTAGCGAGAAAACCATAATTCAAATCAATTAATTTATAATATTAATGCTCTGTAAATTTACATTGAGCCCTGTTTTGTTAAAATAAAAATATCAAAAGAATACCGGATTATATATCTTACTGTTCTTTCTTCATATATATATATATATATATATATATATATATATATATATATATATATATATATATATATATATGTATATAGATATAGATATAGATATAAATAGATATGAACAGACTGTGATAGTTGTATAAATAAGTTCTACAATAGCAATAAAGGGGTTGACTCAGGTTATTTGATCAGGAGTAGATGTTTTACCCTTGTTTCCTGTTTAGGATTAGGTTTCCGGTTCCTTGTAACATCTTATCTTTATCTTTCCTTTGGGGTGAATTTATGATATATATATATATATATATATATATATATATATATATATATATATATATAGAGAGAGAGATAGAGAGAGAGAGAGAGATAGAATGATAATGTATATATATATATGTGTGTGTGTGTGTGTGTGTGTGTGTGTGTGTGTGTGTGTGTGTGTGTGTGTGTGCATGTAAAAATATATAAAAATAGGAAAGAATACATTAGGTAAATAATCCAAAGTTCTTTAGTATTTTTTATTATTTTTAAAAATTAGTGCTCGATACAAAAATAGAGCATAAATATATAATTATTTATTTAAAAATATGATTCCAACGCTACATAAGAGTTCTCATGTTTCAAAACAAGAGCCGAAAACTTCAATATAATTATTTGAATTAAACTGAATTAAAGTACCAAGCTCTGTTCCATCTTCAAACGTATATATATATATATATATATATATATATATATGTAAAATGAAATGGACTAAGTCCGATAATTATTTTAATATATTTTCTGTTTATACGTTATTTTTATAGATACAAATATTTAAGTAAATGCTCTATTCTTTTAGTTTCTACTTTCTCCTCGAAAAGCTATTCGCAGTTTTTTTTTTTTCACACTATATATCCTTTGTATCATAGTGACTTTATCGCCTTGCTTAGAGCGAAATGAGTAAAAAAACACTTCAGATACGTATATTTTTCTTTGTAAATCTGATCACGCACACACGTATAAATACATAGTTGTATACATACATACATACACACACACACACATATATGTATGTGTGTGTGTGTGTGCTGGAAAATTGTCTCGTTTCGATTCACTTCATATGAAGTTAAGCAGCGTCAATCATTTTCAATACTGAGATGGGTAACCGCTTGAGAATGCCAGGTGCAGTCATTGTTAATCGGAGAGTCGTGTTCCAATTCATGTCGGGTTCGTTATATTTACTTACGTGCAAATACCCTGGGGAAAGATTTGAGCCGACCTATTCTCCTCCATCTATGGGTTAATTAGCAAGTAATGTTTCACTGATCCATTATTATCTAAAATAAAATCTAGCTATAAATAACCTGCCAAAAAAGTGATAAGCCGTGAAGACAAATGAATCAAGCAATAAAACACCAGCTATAATTTCTGAAACCTTTTAAACATCCCCGAATATATATATATATATATATATATATATATATATATATATATATATATATATATATATATATATATATATATATATATATATGATTATTTATTTAAAAAATATGATTTGGATCTACCTAACCAGTTCTTTCCTATTTTCTATATATTTTCACAAATATATATATATATATATATATATATATATATATATATATATATATAGACCCGGCAGAAAAGGATAAAAAAAATGGTCTCTTATTTGCCCAGCTATTTGTAAGTGGGTCGATCATATTAAATGCAAAATAAATGTGATTCGCTCCAGTACTTCCAGGCATATATAATTTTCAGCTGGCATGAAGTGGCAAGAATATAATGAATTCATTGCTAGGTCAGCTGCTAAGAAAGTTGGTTGACTGTGTCGTGCGAGACAAATTTTTTCTCCAGGCTCTATCTTACATATCTATAAGTTAACAATTCGTCCATGCTTAGAATATTGCTGCCAACATTGCTAAACATTTCGTCATTGAGAATTCAAGATGAAATTCGCAGTATCCCAGCTGAGATGTTACAGCAGTCAATGAGGAATCTCAACAGCAGACTTCAAGAATGCATTCGTACAGGAGGACGCCATCTACAGCACGTAATTTTTTAAAAATGAAAATTGCATTATAGTTTCTTAAATGGCATCTTTTAAGGTTTTAATTACTATGAATAAAATATTTTTCTTCCATCACTCTTGGTTTTATTGGATTAAAAGTTCCCGTTTTTGGGGTTCACCCTATATAAATACTTTCATGGTAATTGTGCGGATCAGTTGTTCGCTATGATACCCTAGACATTTTTTTTTATTTAAGCACAGTAGTTTAAGAAAATTTATAAGTATTGTCACATCAGAACAACATGCTTTGCTATGATTAACAAACTATTTATCCTCTTCAAAATGCTCCCATTCAGGTTCAAAATACAACGCTGAACCCTATCAGCAACACTTCTACAAACAATTTGACATATTTTTACATCAATTTCAGGAAATCTATCAGAAATATTTTGTTTTATTTCGGCAGATGTTTTCGTTTTGAACCTATAAACAATATCTTTCAGTCCACCCTACAAGAAAATGTCGGGTGGTGTTATTGGAATCTAGTGATCGTGATGGCCACTCATTTCCTTCATGTCGACTTGTCCATCTCAGCTCGAATAAAGAGGGCGTTACTTTTTCCGCACATTGTATATAATGGTAGCTATTAACACTGCCAATTAGAATATGTACAAATATATAATTTAACTAAAATCAAAGTGAATAGAAAGACTATGCCTTTTCTATAAATACTTTCGTGATAATTGTTAGGATGAGTTCTTTGCTGTGGAATAGTGTCGTATGTTTGGGTCAGTGTTTGTGGTTAGTTAAGTTTAACATTAAGACAGAAGAAGAACGTCCTTTTCCCCCATTCACCATTTTGGCCTTGTGCCACATTTCTGTGTATAACGGAATAAATAAGGCTCTTCGCTATGGTACCTAGACTTCATGAATTTAAACGCAGTACTAGACTGGCATCGAGATCTCACCAATTTACAGTTGAAATGGCGAGATTTAGCCGTAAGTTCTATGCCAACAGTTTATTCTCTCGCACTTCTCGCTTGTGGAACTCCCTTCCGACTCCATGCTTTCCAGTCAACATTAATCGGCTAAAATTTCAATGCAAAGTCAATCGCTATCTACTATCTTCCTGGTTGCTTTTTCTTCTTCCCGCTCATTATTAATGTTTCTATTCCTAATTTTTCTGTAACTCCTTCTTTCTTAGTGGCTTTATTGCCTTGCATGGAGTGATACCGATTAAAACAATATTAAAACAATATATATATATATATATATATATATATATATATATATTTTTACGTGCGTATGAATGTACATCAATTCGTATACGTTTCGTATAGTATGAAAAGGTACAGAAAGTGAAATATAGATTACTTATTGAATTTAATAGAAGTATATATATATATATATATATATATATATATATATATATATATATATATATATATAATAGAATAAATATTGGAAGCAATTAAAATGGAGATTGATAAAACAGAAAAAAGCATTTAAACGTATCGATTATTGCATTAATCAAAGTCTCCATTTGTAAATACATCGATAAATTTTCTTCTGTATACAAAGCTACACGATAACAGACGCCAATAAATATCACAGTTCCCCCTCTCTCACTTTATATATATATATATATATATATATATATATATATATATATCTATATGTGTGTATATGTGTGTGTGCGTGTATTTATGTGTGTGTGAATGAGAGAAAGAAAGAGAGAGGATACAAGAGAATATGAAAATGGTTTAGGGCCAACCCACTTTTCAAAATCTGACCAAATGAACAAATAAGAAGAATTTGCGGGGGTGTGATGGTGAGAGAAGACCATCTTGTTCGGTTCGAGAAAGTTTTGCCATCGTCTCTTGTACATATACACATATATATATATATATATATATATATATATATATATATATATATATATATATATATATATATATATATATATACGTATGCAGATAGATATTTGATATACTATGGTAAGTATTCAATACAATGCGTAATTTGATTGATTATCTCGTTGATGGAAAATATCTGAGAGCTGAAATTAATTTTCAAATGCGGTGGCTCTTTATTTCCCATACACACACACACACATACATACATATATATATATATATATATATATATATATATATATATATATATATATATATAAATGTTTCTTAATTATTTCTTTATTCTTACTTTTCTTTGACTATCCCAGTCTATGCCAAATTAATCGAAAATTCTTTAAAAAACCTATCTATCTATCTATCTATCTATCTATCTATCTATCTATCATGTCAATTTTTTCATTATCTATCTATCTATCTGTATGCATGTATGTATGAGCAAACCACTTTCAAGACAGGTGTGCTTCAACATTAAGCCACAAGACGCCTCTACTACCAAGCAAGTCACAATCGCTTTACCTAAGAAATGGCGAGCTCTCGTTGGGACATTTCAATATCTATATAAGCTAGTCTTTGGGCGCCTTGGCGTGGTGTAATGGTTAGCAAGCTTGTCTCGCTAAATCAATTACAACTGAAAAGTGAGTTCGATCCTCACTAGATGCCCCATACTTCCGGCCTCGTGCCACATCTTAGCTACGTTTGGAAAATAACTATAAGCTTATTTTGAATTCGTTTTGTGGGGCGGGGGCATTTTTTTTTAGACTTTATAAATTATACTGTATCAAATACGTATTCTCTGCCATATGAATGTCACACTCTAATTTTTCATTTGGGGGTTTCAAGAGAGATTCAAGTAAATACAGGTTGTATGATATCATTTTCTCTTGTAAACCTGATTAAATAAAGCAGATCAGTCAAGTGTTATATTAATATTTCCTCTTTTTTCTTTTTTTTCTGGTTATCGATCACCGTTAATTGAAAAATGCGTTTGGAGTTGAAGTGGTGGGATCTATTATTTTTTCAATTTATACTTCACTTTATATCAATAGTCACACAAACACACACACACACACACACACACATATATATATATATATATATATATATATATATATATATATATATATATATATTCATGAATCATTCATACAAAAAATAAATATAGAGGTTAATGATTTAAATGGCGAGAATACATCTTCGGAAACTCGGTATTTGTTTTTTGTATGAATGGTTAATGAATTTATAAACTCTAATTTGCACCTTTAATCGAAATTAAAATGACTGATCCAACGTGCAACTTTTGGATAATAAGTGTGACATTACTGTAATTATTGAACAATATAGTTCATGCCACATAGACAGAAAATCTACCAGTAAAAAAGAATTCTCTTTTGTACAAAAACGCACAACCTTAAAATTTAAATTCAAACTCAGCGTTGCGACCGCACGTTCCAAAACAATAACACATTTCTCATACCATTTTTTCGAATTTATCTCTATTTTCGTTGTCCTCTTATTACTGAGAAGTAAAAACAATTTATAAACAAATCATATTTCCATACCTTTGATGATGTCTGTCATTTACAGACAAAAGCATAAAATCATTAAAATTTGACCTTATGCATGACTGGAATTTATAAACAGGGATCATTTATTGATTCATATACAGGTTTGGGGTTGGTGTATCTCATTTATATTGTTTGCGAAAATGTATTCTCGCCATTTAAATCATTAACCTCTATATTTGTTTTTTGATGAATGATTCGTTAAAAACGAATAAATTATCATCATTTGCACCTTTAATTGAAATATATATATATATATATATATATATATATATATATATATATCGATCCCTGAAAAAATCAGATATTTCAGACACAGCTCTTCGGGAAACAAAAAGTCAATTTATAATATATAGTGACTATTAATTGCTGTTTAAATTATGCAACGTAATAGTTCTCATGTTCAAAACAAGAGACGAAAACTTCAATATAATTATTTGAATTAAATTGAATTAAAGTACCAAGTTCTGTTCCATCTTCAGCGACCGTTTAAAACCACAACCCCTGAAAACTGAACATTTTAGCAAGAAACATCGATGTCGGGATAAAACTGATATTTAAAAGTTAAGTAATTTTTACTTATAATATTATTAACGTTCTATTTTTAGCATTATTTTAATATTTTTAACAATATTATATATATATATATATATATATATATATATATATATATATATTAAACTACGAATGTTGAAATTTAAAATTCTCCGAATTTTTAAAACTGTTTATGGTGTCAGTTTGTAGAAGGGGGCTGGTTTGTTGGGGAAAGAAAGAGAGAAAAAACGACAAACTGAACAGAGGGAAAGAGATGACAGAAGAAGACATAGTTACAGGGTGTAATGTGGGGCATTATATAATGGAGGTATGGGCTGAGCAGGGTCACAGAATGGGAACCTGATAAGCTAATGGTCAAATTTGCTTGGATTATGCCAACGGATTACTACCTAAATATATATATATATATATATATATATATATATATGTTTGAGAATCTGTAATGGTATTGATCCTGGTCAATGGTCCTGATACTCTCTGCGCCTTCTCGGGCAAACGTTTTCCGAAGACATGAATTGGAAAGATGATATTGAATCAATTGCTATGTCTGCTGCTAGGAAGCTTGATCCATGTTTTGCTAGACAGAAGTATCTCTTGTTTTCTTTCAACTTTATAATAAACGCCTCGTTGCCTCTTGCTTCCCGGCTTGTTGGAAATCCTCATCTGCTGTTCCAGTTTTTTAAGAATTCAGGTGAACTGTCCGACCTTTCCGACTATCGGTCTATATTAGCCTTTGTCCCTCTTTTTGGTGAATCACTAGAGGTCCTAATCAATGCGAAATCAGTTAAGCATCTCACATCGCTGAACCTTCTTTCAGAGAGGCAATGTGGGTTTTATTGTGGAACAAGTCTATCAAGCTTGAGATAACAAAAAAAAATGAAGTTCGGGCTATTGATTTGGACACATCTCGAAAGCGTTTGATTGTGACTGAAGTCGAGATATCATTTCAGACCCTTCTTTGGATTTTTCTTAAGAATCTCGAGATATATAGCAGGGGTACCAGACAAGATATGGCAGCAATATTCAATGCACGGACGAATTGTAGATTTATAAATGTACAAGATGGATTCTGATGAGAAAAAAAAATGTCTGACATTATACAGTAAACCAACATTCCTGGCATAAGGCCTAGCAACTGATTGAATATAAGTAGTGAGCCCAAGAAGGTGCAAATGTTGCTCTTCTGTCAGTCAGTTATGTGTCATGCGTGATACAAGCTTAGGCGATCATGTATCTTTTCGACACATGACTGACGAGGCAGATTTTTTATCCGCAGTAGGTTGCCATTTCTTTCTGCGGTAGACCAGTTGCCATCCAAGGCTATGGAATCCGGCCAGTCCTGCTATTTACCCATAGCTGTGGGAAGAAGAAGAGGATTCATACCTTTCCTAAGGGTATTAGCACGTAAGTGAATATCAGTCAGTTATGTGCCATACGTGATACACGCTTAGGCGATCATGTATCTTTCGATGCATGCCTTACAATGTAGATTTTTTTCCCGCAGTAGGCTACCATTTCTATCTGTGGTAGACCACTTGGCATCCAAGGCTACAGAACCCGGTCTGACCTGCTAATTACCCATAGCTGGGTGGAGAACAGGATTCATACCTTTTCCAAGGTTGTTAGTACATAAGTGAATGTAATGGATTCGACTGGAATTCGAAATCGGCTCTCCGATTCCTCAATCCGAGTCGCTATCCATTACTTCACCATGACTGGAGGTTAGCATTAGCCATGCTGATGAAGATTATATGAAAGCAATTTTTTTTTCAGGCGTTAAAATTTACAACCCGTTGCTTCGTCCATTTAACCTACTAAGGCAGCAGATATTTATTTATATATACATTTGCATTTCTATTTTACTCTAAATATTTTACTTATATTTATTATATTTACTTCGAGATTCTTGATGAAAATTCAATAAAGAATCAGCAATATTATTGGTCTTGACCTGGCGTCTCGGCTTCAGTCTCTTTCCCGTCGCCGTAAAATTGCTTCACTTTGCCTTTCCTATAAACATGGTAATTTTTGGGATGCGCTCTTCGCTATGCTATTTGGATTTTATGAATTTAAACGAAGTACTCGACTGCTGACAATGTCTCACCAATTTACAGTTAAGCTGTAACCGTAAGTTTTATGCTGATAGTTTCTTTTCTTGCACTTCTCGCTTGTGGTACTCTCTTCCGGCTCCATGCTTTCCGGCGAAATTTGATCTTCAAAAATTTAAATAGAATGTCAATCGTTATTGACTATCTTCCTGATTACTCTTCTATTGTTCTCACTGTTTCGTAGGGTTTCTTTTTTTTAATTATTTCCCAGCCAATAACACCTTGCGTCTTAGTGGCTTACTGCCTTGCTTGGGGTAAATTCGATTTTAAAAAATGCTAGAATTCAAATTTGATTCAATATTAAACACGTAAAAACAAGAACAACACTAGAAAAATCTGCTGTTATTTAATTTTCGGTGCTGCTAAATGTGCTCATATAAAACTTACACATAAGAACATAAAGATATAAACTATGCTTATTTTGAATGTTAGGGTCGTTTGGATAACTTGTGGTACACTGTGCGCCAGTTCACTGAGTTCGTCTCTCCCAAAATATGTAGTCGGTTCTGGACAAGCTTTTACCAATAGAATCAAATCAAATATGTACGGGTAATCTGGCTATTAGGTTCTAAATACTGAACAGCTCGACACTTATCCGTCGAAAGACATTATCGGTTTTGTAGCCGCACTGAAGAGCTGTGATACAGCGAAACAGTAGTGTTTGCGAATGACATAATTTAGCTATTGAAAATATATTTTCAAATGACCACTATTGAATGACAAGTTAATTCTAAAAACAACAGCCACCTGCACTAATGCGAAGCTCTTCAGTAAAATGAATGGAACACTTTGGCTGCTTGGCGTTTGTTTACATTTATAAAAACAATACGCTAGATTTGGCAGACTCATTCTGTCGAGTGAAGATAGCTCAGTGGTAGAAACTCTGAATGACACCAAACCGGGTTTGATGTACTCGGTTGTCTAGTCACACTGAAGAGATATGATACAACGAAACAGTACTATCTGCGAATGACACATAAATATATATATATATATATATATATATATATATTTGAGGGATAGACAATTTTGCTGCTACGTTCGATATATATATATATATCAATGTAGCAACAAATAATATAAATCGTGTTACATACACATACATACATACATATATATATATATATATATATATATATATATATATATATATATATATATATAAAAATTTAGCAGCAAAATTGTATAAATC